AGGGGTTAATATAAAATACCTTAGGCTCCAAGCCAGGGTCTGGTAGCTAATTCAGTCCACTTGTCTACACATGTGGGTCCACAGACAGAATTTTTATTTTTAGGTTGATGATCAATGTCTTGAATTCCTGAAGAAAGATAGATTTATTTTCAGTCTGTTTACTAAAGCATGAAAAAGGACAGATGCTTTCTGAAAGTATTTTTACAAGAATTGAAACAGTAGGTACCTTGGTGCCAGATGGCTTGAATTTGCATCCTGGCTTAGCCACTTGCTAGCTGAGTGACCTCGGGCAAGTCCCTTGTCGTCTCTGTGCCTCACTCCCCTCATCTGTATAGCAGGATAGAAATAAATCCTACTTTTAAGGGAGTTATTATGTTAAGTGCCTGGCTCATAGTAGGCACCACGTAAGTGCTTTCTATTTATTTTTATTTATTTATTTATTTAGGGTGAAGTAGAAAATAATAATTTTATTGCTTTGCCAGGCAAAGGGGGCTACAGTGGGCTAATGCCCTCAAAACTGTGTGTCCCGACCTGGAGGGGGTAGTGAGGACTTTTATAGTAATGGTTCAAAGAGGGCATGATCAGCTTGTGGACATTGTTCTGATTGGCTGGTGGGGAGGTGAGTGGGCGTCAGCATCATCAACCTTCTGGTTCCAGCTGGTCTGGGGTCTCCGTGCTTGTGGGCAGCATGCGGTTAACTTCTCCCACCTGGTGGGGTTTCAGTGTTGTCATCCTAAAGCTGGTGGGGAGGTCAAGTCTAGCAGCTCGGATGTTGAAAGCAGTCCATCGCTGTGTGCTGTTTATCACTGCAAGTGTTGGAGGGTCTCCTGTAGAGGCGGGGGGCGGCTGTGTCTCGCCGTGAGAACAAGGACACTGGCAGCAGAAGTTCTGGGAAGTACTCCTTGGCGTGAGCCCTCCCAGAGTCTGCCATTAGCCCCACCCCAGAAGTGCTTTTTTTTTTTTTTGCGGTACGCGGGCCCCTCGCTGCCGCGGCCTCTCCCGCTGCCGAGCACGGGCTCCGGACGCGCAGGCTCAGTGGCCATGGCTCACAGGCGCAGCCGCTCCGCGGCACGTGGGATCTTCCGGACCGGGGCACGAACCCGTGTCCCCTGCATCGGCAGGCGGACTCTCAACCACTGCGCCACCAGGGAAGCCCCAGAAGTGCTTTTTAAATAAAAACAAACTTCCTCCGGGGCCTTGGGTGAGTATTCAGAGAACTAAATTAGCCAGAAGATTTCAACTGTCAACTCTCCTTATTGTTTAAGATTGGTAATAAGTTCTAAATCATTTTAGCATATGTGATAAACTGAAGTCTTTTAGTGAATATTTATTGTCTTATTCTGATATAATTTCTGACTTAATGAAAAGTCAAAAGAAGAGTACAAAGAACTCCCATATAACCCTTTACCCTGAGTCACCAATTGCTTGCATTTTGTTTTGTGTTCATTCATTCATTCACTCTTCCCTTCCTTCCTTCCTTTCCTCTTCCCTTTTTCATGTCTATTTTTTCCCTTCAGAATCATTTGAAAATAAGTTGGAGACATTTGCCCCATTATTCTTAAATATTTCAGGGTGTATTTTTAATAACAAGGACATTCCCTCTCCTTTTTTTCTTTGTTTTTATTATTTTATTGAAATATAGTTGATTTACAATGTCTGTTAATTTCTGTACAGCTAAGTGGTTCAGTTTACATATATACACATTCTTTTTTTAATATTCTTTTCCATTACGGTTTATCATAGGATATTGAATATAGTTCTCTGTGTTATACAGTAGGACCTTGTTGTTTATCCATTCTGTATATAATAGTTTGCATCTGCTGATCCCAGCCTCCCAATCCATCCTTTCCCTAACTTCCTCCTCCATAGCAATCATAAGTCTGTTCTCTAAAGGACATTCTCTCTCTTAAGTGTAATACAGTGATCAAAATCAAGAAATTTAATGTTGATACAACACTGGAATTTAATCTATAAGCTATATTTAGAAATTTTTAATTGTCCCAGTAATGTCCTTTATAGCTATATGTGTGTAAACATATGTGTGTATGTGTGTGTGTGTATATGTGTGTGTACACGCAGTTCATTCTGAGGATGACTATGTGTATATATTTTTCCTGATCTAAGATCCAACATAGGGTCACAATTTCATTTAGTTGCCCTGTATCACGTCTTTAATTTTAACCATTCCTCAAAGTTTTTTTGTCTTTCGTAACCTGGAAACTTTTTAAGAATAGAGAGCAATTACGTTCCAGAATGTACCTCAAATCTGAGTTAGTCTCACGATTAGGTCCAGGTTTAAGGTCGTTGTGTCTTATGGTTTTAAAAGGAACGGTGATATTTCACCAGTGTACATTTTTGGAATGAAAAGATGAGGAGAACGTCATGCTGCACAGATTGGCATGCGTGGAGGGAGGTGGGTGTAGCGAAACTCGCATAAGAGGTATTCTGAGGATGCTTATTTGCTACAAGTAAATAACTATAGTCTCCCAAAATAATCCTTTTAGGGAATTCACTCTACTAATAGTGAAGGCAGGTAGATCAAGAGTTAGAGCCTTGCTATTTCCTTGAAAAGAAATCAAGCGCAGGCAGAATTCTTTCTTGTGTACAACAGAAATAAACATCTGAAGAATGGTCTCCTCTGTCTGGGGAACTCAAAATTTCTTGGTACCAGGAAACATAAACAGGCATCCTGCTCTTTTGTTGTCAAGGAGTGACTGTCTCCACATAAGACCAACATGTAAGGTGAAAGATGAAAAATGTAACCTAGCATCTAAATGCTGAGTTCTTTTCATTCTGACAATGACCAGACACATTAAAATTTATTTGTAGTCTAGATATGGGCAATGCCTTTCGTCATTATAAACACCCAGATTCTTTAAAAATGAATTATTTTTTAGTTTGAATATTTTATTTTTTATCGAAGTATAGTTGATTTACAATGTTGTGTTAATTTCTGCTGTACAGCAAGGGGATTCAGTTATATATGTTTATGTATATATATGTGTATATACATTCTTTTTTATATTCTTTTCCATTATGGCTTATCACAGGATATTGAATATACTTCTCTATGCTATACAGTAGGACCTTGTTAGTTATCCATTCAATATATAATAGATAAATGAATGACTTTTAAAGCAAATGATAGAAAGGACTGTGCTATTGATGTGAAACAACGGAGAGGGAAGTAGAGTGACCGGAAGTAAATGCTTTTGGCGTAATGCACAAAATAACTGATGGTCTTGAACATACTAAAGTTTGGAGGTGACAAGAAAGCGTTAATCCTTTTAAGCAAGTGCCTAGGGTACACTCTGGGAAAATCTGACTGAATGAGTTACTGCTCAGCCTAAAATTAAACTCGGCTTTTTGTCTGGCATACGAACTATTGGATCACATTTCTTTTCACGGATGGATACATTTCTTTTTTTAATGAATTGAAAAAAGAATCCCCAGTGTTTCCCTTTGTGTGAAGAAAAAAAGATAAATATTAGCTAGGAAAGGTCATTTTGGTTTCCAGTATGTGGGGAGTTCATTAGGATGGGTTCTGATAAATTATGCTGTGTACTTCTTTCCGATAACAGAAGGTCACATTGTGCCCTTGGGTGGACATCAGGACAAACATACTTAATAAAGTTGGAGGATCTGGGAGATGACTGTTTTCCAGTGTTTTGGTTTTTTTTTTCGAATACCTTATATTTATACAGTTATTCAAAGCCACTTCCCTCTCGTGGCGCTAATGACTCAAGGCCTCCCCTGTCTCTCCTGTAGCCCCGAATGGATGGATCTCAAGTCTATCACCTAAAGTGGTCTCTAGACAAACATCTGTAAAGGGGCATCCAAAGAAGAGAAGAATCTCAGTTGTGCTTGGTGGTGGATTTGTAATGGGTTCCACAGGATTCAATAGTAATTAGACTGTGTTGCAAAGATAATTTTTATGTCATATTTGCAACTTAAATATTTACTGTTGCCCATCATTATTTCTCTCTGATCTCCACCCCGGGGGAGATGTATTTAATTTAGCAACATTAAAAATGGGTAGTTTCGTGGGGTTTTTTTGTTTGTTTTTTTTTCCTTTTTCTTGCGATGTCTTTTGGTTTGGAGTCATCTGAGTCTTTCCTGAAAAATGTTTTCACTGAGTAGAAAAGTCCTTTTAGGTCTGTGCATTAAAGGACAGTGTTGAGTGTCAATTATGGTATTAACAAGTTTTTCTGTATTTTGGTATGGTGTTTTATGTTGGAAAGATTTTTGCCTTCTGCCTCCCATCAACATTTTTCAAAAAGCATCCTTGCAAATTGTTTTTTTTTAATTTTTAATTGAAGTATAGTTGATTTACAATATCATGTGAGTTTCAGGTATATAGCAAAGCGATTCAATTATACATATATACATATCTATATATGTATATATATTTTTGTATATATATATTCTTTTTTAGATTCTTTTCCCTTACAGGTTATTACAGAATATTGAGTATAGTTCCCTGTGCTATACAGTAGGTCCTTGTTGGTTATTGTATGCGTGGTAGTGTGTCTTGCAAATTGTTTAGCATCATCAGGTTTATATCACAGAAACATAGGAACTCAGATCTTCATGCTGGCTTTTCCACTGCTCTGTGGACTTGGGCAAGTTGTAGAACTCTTGGGATTGGATTACCTCCAATTTCATTTTCATCCCATGGTTAATGAAATGAGAGTGAAATTTTGCATGGTTTAGACCGTCTGTCAACTTGGGGATGCCTTTGCTCTGGAGGGAACTTCTACTTTAAAACTATATTATGTTAACTAATATGTGGCTAGTTAATAACTGTAGAATTCTGTATCTTCCTCCCCTCTGCTCCGTCTGTTAGGACACTTTACAAATGTGGATGTGTTTGGCTGTCTACCGCTTGCCTGAAAATGCAGGCGGCATTGTAAAAAACCCACAATTTTGCTACTGGAAATCTGCATCATTTCAGCATTAAAATGCTAATGGATTCCTGTCTTTTTTGTTTTTTAAAATAGGTCTTCCAAGCTAAGATAATTTTTTGGAACTGCAGAAGTGGTCCTAGCTACCAATGGGAATTTGGAGTCACTCTGAAATACATCCTGGAATAATTGTGTTTGACTGGAACCAAATCTTATGAAGTCTCCAAGGTAAAATGATTTTAACACATACCTAGAGATGGTATCTTTACGAAGCATAAAGAATTTAGCCAAACTGAGTATCTTAGAGCTGATGATCCTTTATAAAAGCCTTCTTTTTATGTTGAAGTTTTGGGAATTTGGGGAGGTTAAAAAATTTTAGCTCTCATCTTTGAAATTATTTCAGTTTGTAAAGCAGTGTTTCAGCTCTTCAGCAGGGTAAATGGTGATATTTTTAAGGTAAAGCGATTTTGTTTTACATTTGGGCAAAATTGTTCAATGTAGAAGAAATTGAGGTATCACAGTAGATGTAGTAGGTGAGAAATCCTTTTACTGGCGGAGGGGGTCCTAGATTATTGAATGAAATAAAGAATCATTGCTCAGTAGCTGCCCACTTACCTGTAGGCATTTCTCTGGGGAATCATAGCTATTGTTAAGTAAATACTTAACTTATAAATACTTTAGGCACTGGGAACTTGTAACTATTCAACCCGCACCGGTACGTAGAATTGTCCATGAAGAAGAAGTTAGGAATTATCATCCGAGATTAGGAACAGTGGCCCTTGAGACTTTTGATTTGGGGTTTGCTGTTGGGATCCAACCAGGAAAACAGAAACCATCCTGATAATGTGGAACAGAGGGAAGTGAATTCAGGGAACTGGTTACACATGTGATGGGAGAGTCAGAGACGTTAAGCAGAAGATACAGAGGCAGCCCCAGAGATCAGCAACAGCAGGAAGCTTCTGCCATCCTGAGGCTGGTGGGACATAGGAGGGCAGTACTGCTGACCAGTGCTTAGGGGAAGGGACCTTCAGCGGGAGCTGGATCCATAGTGGGCCCTTCTCTTGGAAATTGACACTGTGGAGGAGAAATGGCCACTCCATAGCACCTACCAAGACAGAGAAGGTGGGGAGAAATACCCTACCCTTTCCCTTCCACGCTCCAGGCTCCAGCCAGGGTCTCCTATTGGTTAAGCCCAGCCAGGAGCCAGGTGATTCAGGAGGCTGGGAAATGCAGTGTATGCGTGTTACCCAGGGGAAGGGGAAGGAATGGTTCTGAGGGCAAAACAGGCCCAGGCTGGCATAGAGTTTATATTTGAAACCTCTTCCCATGACATTTTAATGAGCGTGGCACAGGCTTTTCTACCTCAGAGGATGAGTCTTCTCTTGAGGCTGATTCTCACAGCCCCACCAAGTAAATCATGCATATGCCCTGGAATCTTCTGTCTGAAGATGGACAGTAGCGGTCTGTGATACACCGCCCAGAAGCCCCTTCAGGAATGAAGGGTTTATTCCCTCAACTGTTGGAAGTATTACAGAAGATGGCCTACAGCTTCTTTGAATTGTCCTCAATTCAAAGAGCCTCCTTCTTGCTGGGGTCCTCGCCCAACGATCCAGTGGTTAAGACTCCACACTTCCAATGCAGGGGGCGCAGGTTCAATCCCTGGTCAGGGAACTAAGATCCCACATGCCATGTGCTGTGGCCAAAAACAAACAAACAAAACAAAACAAAGAGGCTCCTTGCTGAAGATTTAAGATTTTCCCTTATGTCCAAGTATAAAGGCCTGGCCCCTCACTCCAACTTGGTACCGCAGAGAAGGGGCGTCTCAGCTTTGGAACTCTCCATAGGGTTATCTGAGGCTGTTTCCTCCTTCTGTCCTGCCTTCTTCTCGCCCCTTCCCTTCCACAGGTGATTCTCCCTAGAGCATCCTTTAAATAACCCCTTGCTCATCAATTTCTGTCTCACAGTTGGCCTCCCAGGGTAACCAACCTTTGAGACTCAGATCATCTCAGACATACTCTCCAGATTTGGTAAACTCCGTTCAGACAAGTTTAGGTGATGCAGTGACTGATAAACACATGGAAACTGAATTTCACTTATACTTTAGGTGGGAGGGATTATAGCTCACCTGAAAGACCTAGTCTGAATTTGGAGACTCTAAATTGGGTGGGGCACTGTGGTTAGAGGGAGGGCAGCCAACCCACCAAGCAGGAAAAAGTGGAGGATAGAAAAGTTAAGAAGCCAGTAGGAGACCCGTTGTTTTAAACTGTTAAACTTGGCAGATTTGTTATACAGCAATAGAAAACTAGTACTCCATTCATCTGACTCTTTGAAAGTTTGCTTTTTGGGCCACTAATTGCTACAAACTGGAAACTGGGGTACCTGATCCAGCTTGCAAATGTGTTTTGTTCAGTCTGCACTGTGGTCTTTTTTTTTTTTAATTTATTTTAAAATCTATTTATTTTTATTTTTGGCTGTGTTGGGTCTTCATTGCTGCGTGTGGGCTTTCTCTAGTTGTGGCAAGCAGGGGCTACTCTTCGTTGGGGTGCGCGGGCTTCTCATTGCGGTGGCTTCTCTTGTGGAGGAGCACAGGCTCTAGGCACGCGGGCTTCAGTAGTGGTGGCTCGCGGGCTCTAGAGCACAGGCTCAGTAGTTGTGGCGCACGGGCTCAGTTGCTCCACGGCATGTGGGATCTACCTGGACCAGGGCTCGAACCCGTGTCCCCTGCATCGGCAGGCAGATTCTTAACCACTGCTCCACCAGGGAAGCTATGCACTGTGCTTTTAAAACAAAGAAAATGGGGCTTCCCTGGTGGCGCGGTGGTTGAGAGCCTGCCTGCCGATGCAGGGGACACGGGTTCGTGCCCTGGTCCGGGAAGATCCCACATGCCGCGGAGCAGCTGGGCCCGTGAGCCATGGCCGCTGAGCCTGCACGTCCGGAGCCCGTGCTCCGTAACGGGAGAGGCCACAACAGTGAGAGGCCTGCGTACCCGCCCCCCAAAAAACAAAAAACAGAAAAAACAAAGAAAATGGAATTACTTGCCGACGTATAAAGTGTGTAGACTGCATATCAGAAAACGGCTTTTCTTTAAAAGTCGTTCTTGGCATCACTTGGAGCAGCTGCTCCTAGACAGGTCTCTACACTACCTACTGTTCGCCAGTGCTTTTGACCCAGGCAGCCTACACATTTATTTGGAGATATTTGAATTTTTGATCCTTGAGTAAGAGGGATAAGCCTTTGTAACAATTAGATCAGTAACTGATATTGGGGTTAACAGCTGAAATTTTAAAACATTATCGGTGAGATAGAGCACCTCATTCAAAAATTCAGCAAATATGGAATTCTGAACCTACATGCTTTCCCTGTTAGTAATAAATTAATAATCAATTTCCTGAAGTGGAAATATAATTAAACGATAGCACCTCAAGCTCACATAGGCTTACATGTATATTCTTTGCCACCTTTAAAACTGATCCTAGGGTTTCTACTTACCATGTGTGTGTGCCGAGGTGGGGGAGACAGAAGACATGCTTTGTAAAATTAAGGCATGTGCAGGCCCTTCAAAGCAAAGAGACCCTATGTTTCCATGTAGGTTTAAAATTTTCAGGGTTTCCAAGGCAAGGGGCAAAAAGATATCAAGCTTTGAGTCCCTTTTAACTCCGTGCTCTTCAAAGATAATCTTAGAATCTTGTCTTACTGTGGTTGCTTCAAAGGCAGATTGAGTCTCAAATCAGGGAGCAATACGAGATCTTTCAACAAGATCTATTTGACTAACTTGTGAGAGGTCACAACCTACTTCCCACAGTGTGATGTGGGCACCAGGTCCCCAAGGCTGTGCCTTCCCTTGAGCATGGAATCATGGTTCTGGTTGAGGTACTGTGTGGCTGACAGCCATGGGGTGGCTAGACCCTTCCTTCCAGGATTTCTTCAGAAGCTTTGCCTCTAGTGTTACGCAAACAGGGATCCATCCCCATGGGCCATGTCTTTATTGTCTGCCCATGAGTGTTTATACATGTTGTGTATATGAAAAGGGGGTTCCTTTGATCCTCTGTGGTGGATCTTTTATCGTAAATACCATGAGACATGTGTCAGGCAGAACCTAGTATCACTGGAGTTTCAAATGCCAAGAACTCTGACTCTTGCTTGAAAAAGTTAATAAAAAAAAAATAGCAAAGATAAAAGTTAATCAAGTGCTATCTAATTTCTCTATAATATCAAAAAGGGCAGAAAGTTAGGGAGAGGGTTGGAATGCATACTGGCTATTTTCTTTTTACTTACTCTTTTTTTGGGGGGAGGAGTTGTTTTAGAATAGACCACACAACCATATCTGTGACCTGAATTGTCTTTGAGCAACTGTCTGGGTATTGTCCATTCATATGAGGTGAAGTTTATTTTCCCAGGTTTATTGAGATGTAATTGACACATAACACTGTGTATGTTTAAGGTGTACACTGTGTTGATTTAATGATGGTCAATTGCAAAATGATTCTCAGCATAGTATCAGCTACCACCTTCCTACTATCACATAGTTACCTTTTTTTAAAATTATTTTTTGGTGATGAGAACATTTTTCTTAGCAACATTCAAGTATATGATACAGTATTATTAACTATAATCACCATGCTATACATTAGCTCCCCAAACTTGTTAATCATGTAACTGAAATATTTGACCTTTGGCTAATATCTACCCATTTCCCTCACTCTCAACCCTTCGTAACCACCATGCTACTTAACCTGTTTCTCTGAGTCTGTCTTTTTTAGATTCCATGTGTAAGTGAGATCATACAGTATCTGTCTTTATCTGACTTATTTCACTTAGCAATAATGCCCTTAAGGTCCATCTAAAATTTTGTATATGGCAAGATTTCCTTTTTTCTCATTGCTGAATAATATTTCATCATATCTATCTCACATCTTCTTTATCCATTTATCTCTTGACATCTATATGAAGTTGTTTCTCTATTCACCTGTACTTGCTCGTATTCCCATCAAACTTTGCGATTGGATTAATAAACTATTCAGCCAGTCTTCTAGGCAGAGGGCATTAATAAACAGAGGAACCAGGGGAAATCTCTCGAGCCTGGTGTGAAAATTTCTGTGGTTTTTTTCAGATGAGGAAACCACATATCTTCTATTTGAATCCGGCTCTAAGTATGTCGCTTTTTAAATTTCATGCTATAAAATAGTATATAACCCCCATGTTCTATCAGGGCCACTCAGGCTACACTCTAGGGATTCATAAATAGACCTCTCACCGAGGCATGACTTCGAAAACTTTTACACAGGGAGATCAGCTCCGTCCTTTGTGACCACCTAGAGGGGTGGGATAGGGAGGGTGGGAGGGAGACGCAAGAGGGAGAGGATATGGGGATATATGTATGCATATAGCTGGTTCACTTTGTTATACAGCAGAAAGTAACACAACACTGTAAAGTAATTATACTCCAATAAAGATGTTAAAAAAAGGTATTTATTGAAAATTGAGTGAATGCACAGTGCAAATAAGGTTGGATTGGCCTTCAGTTTCCTTGTGGGGGAAGAAGTCCATAGTTGAGCATCATCCACTGCTTTCCCCACCTTCTCAGGATGGTGTTTGCTGAAAAGCCTTGTGTCACTCAGCCCTCCCTAACTGCGTCCTGCTTTCTTTCCAGGATGAGAGTCTGTGCTAGGTCGGTCTTGCTGTCTCACTGGCTCTTTCTGGCCTATGTGTTAATGGTGTGCTGTAAGCTGATGTCTGCCTCCAGCCAGCATCTCCGGGGACACGCAGGTAAGCCCTTTAAGCTCGTTGCGCGCCACTGAGATCAAGTAATAAAACCCTTTCAAACACCAAAGCCCACATTTTATTATTTAAAAAAATTTTTAATTTGATTTAATTTATTTATTTTTGGCTGTGTTGGGTCTTCGTTGCTGTGCGTGGGCTTTCTCTAGTTGCAGTGAGCAGGGAGCTACCCTTCATTGCAGTGCATGGGCTTCTCATTGTGGTGGCTTCTCTTGTTGTGCAGCACGGGCTCTAGGCACGTGGGCCTCAGTTAGTTGTGGCACGGGGGCTCAGTAGTTGTGGCTCGCAGGCTCTAGAGCACAGGCTCATTAGTTGTGGCGCACGGGCTTAGTTGCTCCGTGGCATGTGGGATCTTCCCCGACCAGGATTCGAACCCATGTCCCTTGCGGGTTCAAATCCCACAGGGATTCTTAACTACTGTGCCACCAGGGAAGCCCCCTAAGCCCACATTTTAGACACAGGTAATTGACAAAATCTTTTGATGGTGTGTAACTAACCAGAGGGAGCATGAAATGCAACAGGGTAAGGCAGTTTAAGGGTTTGATGCTTAAAGCGTGTTGCTCTGGACATCTATCTAAAATGTCCTCCAGGTTTTTCCTTTTTTACCTTCCCGAGTACACTTTCATTTTTTCAGTGATTTTTCTCAAAGAATCCTGGAAAACCAGCAGCACTTTGTGATTATATACTCCATCTTCCTTTGAAGGCAGAACATCTTCATTAATAAACTTAAATGAACACTTCCAGGGCTATAGTGAAGGGAGCTTTCAGATAATTTTAAAACCCCTTTAAGAAAAGATGGTGAATGATTGAAAAAGAAAGGAACAAAAGAAAAAAAAAGCGGTGGTAACTTTTACACAGGACCTAAAATAGAATGTCTGAAGTTTTAGAGAATCATTCTGTTAATTTCTAGTGAGACCCATGGCTGTAGTTGCTTATTTCTAAAGAACGATGAAAATAATCAGTCAAGTATCTGTGTGTGTATGTTCCTGTGTGTTTCTTGTCCCCTTTCCTTGTTACATCTACATTTAAAGTGACACAGACTTGGAAACTCCCCCGAGAATTGTGTTTTCCTAAATAATTCACGTTTGTCAGTGGACTTGTTGTCAAGCAATTAATTTGCTGTCTCTGCTTCAGTAATTGGAGGTGTGGCAGTGCCAGGCATGCTTTGACTTTTTAGTGAAAGAGTGAAGCTTGAGCCCTAAACTATGTATGCATCAAGATTGTAAAGTCTCTCTCCAAGAAAGTATGTAGAGAAGTTTGTTAGTTATCCTTACCCTCAGATATACAGCAGGTGAAGCTCTCTACTTATTTATTCTGATAAGTTAAGGTTAAGATTTAATTTTAGGCTTAAGTTTCTCTTTTAAATAAAGTTATTTGTTTATTTTTGGCTGCATTGGTTGTTCGTTGCTGACGCAGGCTTTCTTTAGTTGCAGCAAGAGGGGGCTACTCTTCATTGCGGTGTGCGGGCTTCTCATTGCGGTGGCTTCTCTTGTGGCAGAGCACGGCCTCTAGGCGCAGGGGCTTCAGTAGTTGTGGCCCGTGGGCTCAGTAGTTGTGGCTCGCAGCCTCTAGAGTGCAGGCTCAGTAGTTGTGGCGCACGGGCTCAGTTGCTCCATGGCATGTGGGATCTTCCTGGACCAGGGCTGAAACCTGTGTCCTCTGCATTGGCAGGCGGATTCTTAACCACTGCGCCACCAGGGAAGTCCTAGGCTTAAGTTTTTAAACTCTCTCATGACTCAATTGTCCTTAAGCAATAGTTTCAAGAAGACAAGAAAATTAATGATTGAAATTTTAATGAATCAGCATAAAATCAATACCATTTGGCTGCTGTGAAAGTGCCCAGGGCTGGTTGGTTATTGTGCTGTGTATATTTTGGTGAGCTTGCTCTCAAGGTTAGAGAATTTGAAGTCATCAGTCTTATCTGTTTGATACACATCTCGTTTCTTGGGTGCAGGTAGAGAGTCAGGCTAGTAAAGAAGCAAAGCATTTCGGGGTGGGGAGTTATCACCAGCACATTTCCAGATGTCAGAGAGATTATGATGAAAAATGATTAAACTTGGAGGAAACAGGGGACATGACTGAACCTTCAATATTTCTTTATTTCAATATTCATTTATTAAAAGGCATTATACTTAGGTTTTTTTTCTTCCAGGTTAGATTACTTATTTTTATCACCCCTCCACACCCAACATATACATACTGGTAGTCTTTTTTTTTTCTTCTTTTTAAAAAATTTTTATTGGAATATAGTTTATTTACAATGTTGTGTTAGTTTCAGGTGTACAGCAAAGTGAATCTGTTGTACATATATCCATTCTTTTTAAAGATTCTTTTCCCATACATTCCATTACAGAGTATTGGGTAGAGTTCCCTGTGCTATACAGCAGGTTATTGTTAGTTACCTATTTTTTTAATTAGTTATCTGTTTTATACATATTAGTGTATATATGTCAATCCCAATCTCCCAATTTATCCCACCAGCCCCCCAGCCCCCGACATTGGTAGTCTTTATGCGAACCTTCACTTTTAAATCTTTGTGGCAATCCTCATTTCATACCATAATCCTTTAAAGTTGGAAAACGTGGAACTGTAGTGATAAATCTAAATTAAGATTAGAATTGTGTACACAAGAGATGCAGTGTCTTCCATATAAGCAAAGACCTTCCTGCAACAGGGAGGGTGAGAAGTCTGAGCAAAGCCTTGGCAAGTTTTGCGCAAGAAATGAAATTTTCATCTTAGAATTTCTAGATGATTTTATTTGGATTCTCAGCCCATTTTTGGTTTCTTTTTGTCTTTTGGGGGATTCTTCCTGCTTTCGTTTTTGGAACTTAAGTCCTTCTCACCCCTTATCTTAACAACCGTCAAAGCAATCAGGACTGGTTCCTGCCCACAAGGGGCTCTGTTCTCTCACTGGGGCTGCAGGCTGCATGAAGAACCATCTTTACAGAAGTACAGACGTGCCTCGTTTTATTGAAGTACAGGCATGCCTCATTTTATTGCACTTAGCTTCTTTCTTACACTTTGCAGATCTTGCATTTTTTACAAATCCAGCGTTTTTTGGTGCCATTTTTCCAACAGCATTTGCTCGCTTCATGTCTCTGTGTCACGTTTTGGTGATCTTTGCAATATTTCAAACTTTTCCATTTTTACTCTGTTCGTTGTGGTGACCTGTGATCCATGATCTTTGATGTGACCCTTGCAAAAAGATTATGGCTCGTTGAAATTTCAGATGGTGGGTAGCATTTACAGCTTTGAAGTATTTTAGAATGAAGGTATGTGAATTGTTTTTTCAGACATAATCCTATTGCATACTTAATTGACTACAGTATAGTGTAAACATAACTTTTATATGCACTAGGAAACCAAAAATTTCATGTCTTGCTTTATTGCGATATTCCCTTTATTGCGCGGGTCTGGAATCAAATTGGCAAAATCCCTGAGGCCTGCCTGTACCCTTTGCATACCCGCAGATGAGGGCTCCTGAATCCTACTGTGGAGTCTTACTCCCTCGCGGGTTTCTTAAGCTGTGTCCTTGATGCCTGGAATATAATGGGTGCTAAATGAATATTTATTAATAGGCTCATTTTGCCCATTTGTCACCCTGTGATCAATTACGTAGTTTTCTCCTGGTGGTAAAAATTCCAGAAAATAATAGGCAGGTGTGAAAGGATAGGCTTTTAACTTTTTGTTGACTATTAGGGTTCTCCAGAGAAACAGAACCAACACAACTAGTTTATTATTGATTTAAGGTATTGGCTCACACAGCTATGGAGGTTGAGAAGTCTCATGACCTGCAGTCTGCAAGCTGGAGACCCAGGAAAACCAATGATGTGGTTCAAAGGCCTGAGAGCCAGAGAGGCAATGGTGTAGATTCCAGCCTGAGTCTGAAGGCCTGAGGTCCAGGAGCACAGAGGGCAGGAGATGGTCAATGTCCCAGCTCAACAATCAGGCAAAGAACAAATTCAACCTTCTTCTGCTTTTTTGTTCTATTCAAGTCCTCAAGGGATTGGATGAGGCTCACCCACAATGGGGAGGGCCATTGACTTCACTCAGCCCCCAGCTCAAATGCTAACCTCTTCCAGAAACACCTTCACAGACACATACAGAAATAATGTTTAAGCAGATATCTGGGTGTCCCCTGGCCCAGTCACATTGTTAATTTCATATAGCCTTCTAGGTATTGTTTTATGTAGTCATCTATATTTTATATATTTTCTATACTGTTTTAGATTTTATGTATCCACACACCTATCCTTCTAGAAAAAGGCATGTATATACCAGTATGTGTGTATGCACAGATGTCTCTTTATGCACCCTGTTTTGTACCTTGATTTTTTTTCCCCATTTAACAATAAACTTTAGAGGTCTTTTCATGTGACTGCGTGCAGATCTATATCACTCTCTGTAACATTGCATAGTCATCTGTTGTATGGATGTGCCGTAAGTTATTTGATCACTCCCAATTTTGGTGGACATATAGCTTGTTACCATATTTGTACAAATATATATGTCCTGACTTCAGATGAATTCCTAATAGTGAGATTGCTGAATTAAAGTGCATGTAAATGTATGGGAGTAGGCTAATTTCTGTGACACATAGACCAAGTAAATATACATAATGGCTTAAATAAAAGAAATTGTATTTCTTGCTCATGAGTGCTGGGTGGGTAATATGTCAGCTGGATGTTCGCCTCTACTGTGGTCTTCTTGGAACCACAGTGGATGGAAGTTCTAGTGTTTTCAACCCGTGGCCTTAAAGGTTGTTCTAGAGTGGTCTTCATTCCAGCCAGCTGGAAGGGAAATGGGCATGGAGGATACACCTGGGAGGTGTTGATGAACGGGGTTAGATGCTGACTGCATCCCTTGAATTGTCCTGCCATTGGCTGCAGCTGAGGCCCATGGCCACACCTTACTGCCTGGGCTGCTGGGAAACATACCCTAGCTGTGGGCCCAGTTCAAAGAGGAGACAATGATTTTTGGTGAGTATC